TTTACAGAGCTTACCAGCAACCCCTTTGGTTGGTTGTGAAAAACCACAGTGTCTATATTTCAGTTGAGATGGCCCCAGCCTGTAAATGCACTTCAAAAACCATCTTATGTCTGCATCGTTCTGCTAATTCTAAAGTCATTTAGGTTTTTCGGGCTGTTGACTGTTGAGCCGTGGTCGGGTTGGATTTGATCCAGAGCTTTCGGCTACATCTGCGGTAGCCATCTTCAGTGGCGCTGTCGGCGAGAGCGAAGTGCTCGGCTTGGCGGGTCGACTGAAACTGATCGGTCAACTGGATGGGCGTGCGGTTTTATAGGCGATAGGCGGACTGAGCTGTCTGGTGGGGTACTCTGGGTCCTTGAGTGACGTGGTTTTTGCGCTGTGTTTTTTCGAATTGGGAACCACGTTTTGTTTAAAGCAAACCTTCTTCTTTTCTATTGAAATTATCATTGTGTTTGTAGATTTCAATTGTTTCTGAGTACATTCGGGCTGAGTAGTGGGTGGATGTTGATAGGTCTTCAGGTTGGTCGAACAGAACATTGTGGCCGTCTTGGAGTGCGTGTTCGGCCTCCGCTGTTTTATCAGTGTGTCCTAGTCGACAGTTTCTTTCAAGCTACGTTTAGTGGTGCCTATGTATACTTTACCACAGGAACACGGTATTCTGTATACGCCGGCACCGCTCTGGGGGTCCCTAGGGTCCTTTACTGATGTTATGAGTTGCTGGATTTTATTTGTCGGCAACCTTCCTATTCTATCCGTAATACCTTTGATGTATGATAGGAAGGAGACTCCCGCAGGTGGTTCCTTGTCTCCTGCCGGCGGTCTGCTTTTTTGGTGTAAAAACCTGTATTCTATTTGTTCCCTGCGATAGCCATTTGCTTGTAAAACCATGTTAACATGATCCAGTTCCCTCTGCAGGTATTGAGGTTTACAAATTCGACGTGCCCTGTCTATCAGATTTTTAATGACACTTTTTTTTTGTCCAGGATGATGGTTGGAGTCCTTGTGTAGATATCCGTCAGTGTTTGTGGTTTTGCGGTAAACTCTGTGACCCAGCTTTAAGTTCTCTCGTCTGACCACCAATACGTCTAGGAAGGCCAGTTGATTGTCCTCTTCTAACTCCATTGTCAATTCCATTTGGGGTAAATGCTGTTTAGGTGATTTAGGAACACTGCTAGTTCTGCTCTTTCGTGGTTCCATACCACGAAGATATCATCCACATACCGTAGCCAACAGCTGGGACGATTGGGGCGGTATTCAGTGCTGCTTCCTCGAACTTTTGCATGTAGAAATTGGCTATTACCGGGCTTATTAAATTATATCTTGATCTCTTATTACCTGTAAGGTAAGACATTTCAAGGTAGAAAACCAGACATGTATTTATTCCCGACAAAGGTTCTACCGTAATCCACAATACATGATGGATTATCGGTGATGATTGGAATAACAGCTTTCCAGTGACGATAACCAGGGTAAGCTTCAGAATTAGTGGGAGCGGCGTTCTGGGTCCCTCCATCAGATCTTTGCGTTACTTCTAGAAGTGAGATTTCAGAATCACCGAATACTTGAACCAAAATTAGGACGGACGGTGACAGGTGTAACTCCCACTCCGCTTCCACGTCCCACTGACGCAAAAGCTCAACTGTATCAGTATTACTCTTAGATTTTATATTTGACGCGAGGGCAGTAATATTTCTCTCTTTACACAATTGCCAAGGTTTTCCCGCAACCTGGTCCAGACGTGGAAGCTAACGGGTGATTTTTTAAGAGGTATAAGATTTGATTTTCAAAAAAAACAAAAAATTTGAAAAAACGATTAAATCTTTATTTGAGTCGATAGAACGGTCGATATAATTTAATGTTTAAAGATTATTTCATGTAAATGTTGGCCGCGGCTCCGCTTTAGATGGCACATGCGCAAGGTCCAATTTTGGCACACTCTCTCCAACATATCGGCCGGTATCTCACGAATAAATGCTTCAATATTGGCTTCCAGTGCGTAGACATTAGCCTTAACATGGCCCCACAAGAAATAGTTCAACGGCGTTAAATCACACGATCTAGGCAGCCAATTGACGGGCCCCAAGCGTGAGATAAACTGTTCACCGAACTCGCCTCTCAATAGGGCCATTGTTTCGTGTGCGGTGTGGGATGTGGCACCGTCTTGTTGAAACCACATGTCAGCCAAGTCCAGCTCTTCCATTTTGGGCAAAAAAAAGTTTGTTATCATCGCACGGTAGCGCTCGCCATTCACAGTTACGTTCCGGCCATTGTCGTCTTTGACGAAGTACGGCCCGATGTTGCCACCGGCCCATAATCCAAACAGTGATTTTTTCGGGATGCATTGGTAGCTCTTGCAATGCTTCTGGCTGGTCTTCACTCCAGATGCGGCAATTTTGCTTGTTAATGTACCCATTCAACCAGAAATGAGCTTCGTCGCTGAACACAATGTTTCGATAAAAATGTGGGTCTTCCTCCAACTTTGCCAGCGCCCATTCACCAAATTGGAAACGTTGTGGGAGGTCGTGTGGCTTCAATTCTTGCACCAGCTGTATCTTATAAGGTTTTCCACGTAGTGGAGTAACAGAGGCCCAATTGCTGCGAACGGCGGCGAATCGACATTTCACGGTCATCACTAACACTGGCGGATACAGCCGCAATATTTTCTTCAGTCCTCACTCTGCGTCTGCGTGTTGGTGGTTTAATGTCCAATAGTGTAAACTGGGTTCGAAATTTAGTCACAAGCTTCCGAATAGCTCCCTCAGTAGGCCGACCAAATTGCCCATAAATTGGAAGCAGTGCTCGATGCACTCTCTTAACCGAGCATGAATTTTGATAGTAAAATTCAATAATTTGCAAGCGTTGTTCGTTCGTAAGTCGACTCATGGTTAAATTATAGACCAAACTAAACAAGTTTGACAATGACACAAGACACGATTCACGCGTCATCTTTCAAAAACAGTTTTGCCAAAAAGATACTAGCAAAAAAATCACCCATTAGAAGCTCTCCATTCTATTGATGTAGGATGAGGTATAATATGCGACAGCTCATCAATTTGTTATCAAAGCACCCCAGAAGAAAACAACTAGATTAGCATGTGGGATCTTCTTCTCGGGTTACCGAAAACTAGAGACTTTTCCCTGGCCAACGAATGTCCCAGTCCGAGAAATTATACAACTAAAAATTGGATAATTCATTACCTCTGACCGCATCTGCCAGATTCTCTGAGCCCCAGCCGAGGTAGACCTTAAGTTATGTTATTGGCATAGTAGCATTAAAATTTCCTTGAGAATTTAACAAGGCAAGAATTTTGACTCGTTAGTGTACAGTCGACTGTAACGAAATGAAAGACAAACTGACACCAAGATCCCGATGTTCTCCGCAAAGTTTCGGACTCTGTGTTGGTTGCTGTCCATTATTGCCCTTACTAGGTTTTAGTAATGCCTGCATCGTCCGCTCAAGTAAAGTTACTTTCCTTCAAGCAAAATGTAACGCTGGTCTCACACAGATAAAACCTGATCTCTATCTGTTATTAACGAAAAGTTACCTGATGGTGACGCCCCTTCAGAAAAAGGGGCTTCGTTGCTCCGCGACGAAAGGAACCTCCATGCGACCGTCGGTATCTCGTTTGACAATGCATATCTCTATCGGCCAACCTTCTGTCCTGTTTGCTAATTCTAAATGTTCAGCGGTTTCTCGACACTGTTGAAAACGTAGAATTGCGCGCCGATCGAGGTGTTAAGAGTATGGCACGAGAACAGGAGAAATGAAGATTTATAGGCGGCCAGAGGGGAGAAAGGTAGGGGCAAGGGGCGCGGTGCCGCTTTCCTTCGCTGCGTGCGCGCTTTGAAATCGTGGGGGTTGGGTACTGCTATGAGGGTACTACGATATTTATTCTAAATATTTACTTCGACGAGGACGGAACATAATATTATAATATAATATATCCATGTGCATTAATTTTCCTAACCCAACAACTTCTTGAAGATACCACAGGATGTGGAATTTGTTCAATGTAGACAAATTATGCTTCTGCCTTCGATTCATGTGTCTAAAATTTCTTAAACGTCAAAACAACAACATAACCTTTAGCCAGAACTGTCAGCATGCCGGAAATCCATAGTAGGACATTCAAGTTAACTTATCGAAGAAGACATGAGATTATCGAAATCAAGGAAGCCATAAAGGCGTCCTACAATTGTAGGAACGACTGACGATACGGCCCTGAAAGTAGGAATTTTATGGCAGAACTGTAAAAAATTTAATTTATGTCAAGTGCACTTTGATGCTCTGATATTCAAATACAAAAAATGTTAAAGAGCTTAGTCCCCCTGTATTTATCATAGGTGATCATTAGTTCACTTTAGGAATGGAGTTCTAGTCGTAGGGCCAATTAAGGAAAACTGATCGCCATCGCCTTCGGCTATATGTCAGTGTCTGACGTAATAGAGGTCTGTATCCACAGAACTAAAAATTATCGAGAATGGATAAACTGAACACGGCATATTGCAAACCACACAATGACGGCCTCAGCCAGGCTTAATTTTCATAAAATCTTTTAAAAGCTTAGCGTTTTTCAATAGATTATTTTCTATTTATTATCTATTTACTTTTCATTATCTCTACAACCTATAGTGTACTGGTGATTGCTAACAGGCATGAAATGGCACCGTACACGGTTGGTTATGGTTATAGACGAAGAGAGCAAGCAGATGTTTATGAAACCATTGTGGAGATTTATTTCTAGTAGTACCGCAACCTGGATATACAGTACAAGATAAAGTCCCGAGCTGGCCGTACTGGCTTTATTTAACTTTACAAAACCAAATACGATACAATTTTTTTTGTAACTTGACAAAGAATGAAACGAGAATCACAGTAACGCATGGAAAACTGTTTCTTCGGGCTCTGATGATTTCCGCAGCATTTTCTTCTTCCGGGTGTATCCTCTTCTGCGTCATTATCCTTAAATCATTTAGTTCGCTAATAATGTATGTAATTAAAATATCGTTGCTTATTTTTGGTAAGTAAGATCTTCTATACAGGGAAATTAATCTGGATGAGGCGAAAAAGAAACTCTGCTCCTTACCTTCTACCGTTTTCTTCTTGGAAGGCGGCAGGCAGAAGCAAGCGCCTACTATTCGCTCGTGGTGGCAGATTCTTCGTTTCGCCGAAAGTTGGACGCTCAAGCGATGATGCCCACGTTTCCACGAAACCGGTCACGATGCCGTGGATTTTTGGAAAACTGCATTTGTATCCTATTTGATGACTGCGCCACCTATGGTACCATAATGGCCGTACGGGTTTGTTTTTACTCAGCTACAACTACAAAACTAATTACAATACAATTTTTTTGTAGGTATTTGACAAAGAGTGAAACGAGAATCGCAGACTAGCATGGAAAACCTCTATTGATTACTCGAGCTCTGATGGTTTCGTCGGCATTTTCTTCTTCCACGTTTATATAACTTAATACAAAAATTATCTATTCATCTATAGATTAATGAGAGCAAAGATGGTCTTTTGTCGGATTGCGTATTATAAGAGGAGCGGCCACTGAACACGATGATTCTACTGGGATACACGAATAGAAGTCGGCTCTATCTCTAAAAATAAAGTGATAGGGGGTATTCAATGGTTTCCGTATGTTGGAAACGGCTGGGCCGATTTCAACAAACTTGGACTAGTTGAAAAGTGCTATTTTTGGGTTACAAATTTTATAATATCTGAAGTTTTGTTAGTTTGACAAGTGGCCGATAGAGGGATTTTTTAGACATTCCGACAGAAATGGATAATTTTCTCAAAAAAATTAAGTGTTTTGGTATAATTTTTTATGAAAAAGTACCTAAATGATGTCTAAACAAGCTCGCGAAAACCGCATCTCGATATCTTGTTCCTAACCTAAAACCCAAAACTAATACCTAATAAAAACATAATCCTCAAAGTGTCAATAGCTGTCAATAGTATCGCGTTACTTTGAGCAATGTTTGTGCCTACCAAATGCGTTTTACGCTTGATGAAGCTGTTGATATGTTTGCAGTTTATTGTGAACGCCGCAATAGCAAAAAGAGTTTACGCGACTCGATATCCAAATCTGCGTCTTTGCGATGTGAGAGTTTTTCCCCGATTAGTGGGGAGTTTACGAGCCTACGTTGGAAGAACACAAAAAAATATTAACCGCGTATTGGGATTTATTGAAGGAAATCCTCATGTTAGCACTAGGGCATTAACCTTCGAGTTGGGTATATGACGAACAACGGTTCAAAATATAAGTTATAATATAATGGTCATCAAAATATAGGGATTTATTTAAATTTACCTTTTTTAATTACTTTTAGAATGCACCCATATCATGTCGTTATTCAGGCCTTGAAAGAGGAAGACTTTGATCGGAGGTTGGACTATTGCCATTGGATGTTAGGCATGATACGCAAAAATAGAGAATTTTCATTCCAAATTCTTTGGACCGATAAAGTCACCTTTAATAGTGACAATATGCATTATTGGTCTGCAGAAAATCCGCATTGGTTGCGTAAAGTTCAGCAAAAAATAAAAATTTAAGGGATTTGAGTATAAATTTTTCTTTGGCCTAAATTTTAGGTTCGGAACAGGATATTGAGATGCGGTTTTTTATCATTTAGCTACTTATAATTTAGCTATTTTTTCACACAAAAAAATCATACAATGCATTTAATTTTTTCTTAGAAAATTAACCATTTCTGTCAAAATGTCGAAAAATGCCCTCTAGCGGCCACATGTGAACCTAACAAAACTTCAAATATTCAAGAAGACCTCTTTTCAACTAGCCCAAGTTTGTTAAAATCGGCTCACGGAAACCTTTGGATACAAAAACAACAAAAAATGTCAAACAAAAAAGGATCAGATTATCCTCGATTTCAGGTATTTTTTGTTAGGTTGATATAGCGGCATTCACAGAAACATCTCTTTTTTAGATTCAAGATTGCCGTTACGCTCCCTAACGACAATTTCAGAAACTTGGAAATATTTTCCAGGTTTTTCCCCTTGCCGTTTTAGTAAAAAAAATGTCACTCATTTCCGTCGGTCTGTCCGCTAATCCTTGGTCCATCAATAGCCTGAGAAGTAACGCACGGATTTTGAGGAAAAGGTCACACAACGTTGCTACTATGCCAAGGACGAAAAAGCTTGTTTTTGAAAATCGGTTTAGTGGCGACGGAGAAAAATAAATTTTCGGGATTGAAATTCGGTGGTGGTATATGAACATTTTTTGATCTTAGTATATTTCCCAGCATCGCTAATTCTATGCACATATCAGCCACAGTTCACACATCATATGCTTCCCCGTATATTTGTCTTTAAAACATAGAATGATAGAGAAATGTTTCGATCCGCGTTCTTCTGCTATCTAAGCTCCCGGCGAATCGCACGAGTATTATGTAAAAAACCTGTAAAACGTCGAAAAAAAAAACAATAAAATGTCATCTTCCAGACTAGGTAGTTTTAAGGGTGCAAACAGTCATTCCACGTTTGCTCACTAGGCTCGTTGTGAGCGTCCATTTACGGAGGATTTACTCAACTACACGCACTGTTGGTTGCATATGTTTTGAGAAGCCGAGTAGGCTGTAGTTTTCATCTCTGAGAAGAAAGTTGGTTGAATAACAAGATCGCATCCGAATTATTATGTGTGTTGGTCTGCATGTGTATAAAATCAGTGATATTTGCTGTGTGAGAAAATCATTACTGGATATGCTGACAATGAAGTATATCTATTAGCTGTGCCCGACGGGTTATTTGTGTTGTGCTTTCTGAACAGAGGTTATGTTCAAAGTTATAAATTACGAAAAACTTTGAGGAGAATAACGGGAAATCACCACCGCGCCCGCGTTGTTTGTAATTACTGTGCATTTATATGGGTTGTAATTCGACAGTGTACAGTGAATATAATTATTTCTTATCTCTCTCATTTCATTTTTGAAATTCAGCAAATTTGCATATCTAATTTTCAGAATGGATATGAAAAAGTGGATGCGCAACTAATGTATAGCTTTGAATCTCAAGTAAGTGTATTTGAGACAAGAATCCAATGGAAATATCATCAACACATACAACGTGCATATAACTTACAGCTCAGACCTCCAGTAATGCCATCTCTGAAGCAGATTTTACATCACATCAGAGCCAAACATTGATAACATAAACCTCATGACGTTTAGGCAACACGAACAACTAGGTGCTGAGTTAACATCTTATAGAAAAACCTACATAATGTCACAAAAAGCCAATAGAGTGTCAAAAACAAAATCGGCATCATGTCACTTTTCAAGATACGTAATACCCGTGCCGGTCCGGCTGACTAATCTATCAGTACTGCAGCGCAAAACCATATACACGGGCATGCACGAAATGAACGATAAATCTCTGCGGCGATGCTACGCTGGGCGTTGCCGTGCAGATGTGGAAAGGGACAACGTTGCCAGATGAACAGCAACTTAATTTAACTTCCCTGTTGTACAAGTTTGTAGCTGATTTTTTTCTCATAGGATTCAAATTGGGCTCAACTAGATACTTTATAAACTGATAAAGGTGTTGCGTCGGAAGTGCAGGGTCAACTTACGCCATTTTTTGCATTTAAAGCCAGGGCTCTATAAATTGTATCATGGCTCTTAGTAGGTTACATAATTATGGATTAATTGCTTGAAAGCTGAGATTTGGCTATAATTGGAGAAAAAAATAATGTGAGAAATCACTAGGACTATTGACTACTATGATAATCACAGAGATTATGCGATTCCCTCGTATCAAATGCTATAGGGATTAGGAATTACACCGAAAAGTGTAATTTCTATTCTTCCTAATTTTTAGTTCTGTGGCTGTAAATCGATTGTTTTTTATTTTCTTCCTCCTCTTTCGGTGAGCGGTCGTGGTGGCGACATTTCAGTTGTTCAGGACGCTAAGGTCGTAATGAATTCCATCGAACCCTTCCCTCACTCTCCTCTTCTGCTTCCTGTTCGCGCCCTCAAGGCATAATTTACCTCTGCACCAGTTTGACAATGGCCTCTTATCGAACTCAGGAAAGAAAGACAGTGGACGGAGGGGTCAGGTTGAAGAGGTAGCTGTCACCTAAAATATAGTGAAGGTTTCCACTTTTAGTATAAAAATATATAGAACTTGAGAAAATTGACTTGGTGCGCCCTACAAAATCCTATAATTTATGCTTAAAATTGGGGTGCTCAAAATGTAGAACACCTAGGAAGCTCTAGAGACGTTCTGAAAGTTGATATCTATTCAGAATAGGCAGTAAATCTTTCGGGTGCAACCGATACACAAAAAAATGATGTAACTACCCTACGATGGAGACTCATAAAGGACATCGTTTTTTAAACGCTACCAATTGAATAAAAGTTCACGATATATTCAATAATGTGTGCATTATACAATGATTTCTTTCCTAACACATTACTGCTGTTCTTTTTCTACTCTTTATAGGATTGTCGGGACGAATGTGCCAAAGAAACATTGTGGTCCACATTTTTCAAAATGTATATGCCTTAAAAAAATACCTCACACTAATGTCATGCATGGTGCCGAAGTTTATTTTTCAAATCGTTATTTTCCTATAGCTCAAGCTATTTTTGTGGTATCGGCATAAAAACTATAAATCGGCATTAACTAGAAATATATAGGATTACATTTTCGGTTACACCCTAATTACACTACATGTTCGAGTACTAATGCACACTATGGTGAGTATACTGAGGAGCTTCCCGTCTAGATGTTTACAAATAGAAAAAAAACAGATTTAGTTGAAAAAAATTGCATCAAGTAGGTTGACTCTACTTCCTACGCAAAGCTGTCGTCAGTTCTTAAAGGATTATGTTTGGCACTAGTTGGTCCCTGTGAGAAAAAAAGTTAGCTGCGAACATGTATAATACAAAAAATAAACGGATCAAAGTTAGTCAAACAGACTCATACAATTAAATTTTGCATATTTTCCACTTTTGTGGCTCTTTAGGATTTGGCTCCCCAAGGCCCGTATCGTCAGTCGTCCCTACAATTGTAGGGCTCGTTTATGGCCTTCTTGATTTCGATAATATTACGTCTTCTTCGTTAACGCACATGTATGTCCTGCCTTTTTATTTCCGACATCTGACAGTTCTGGCTTGAGGTTGTTCTGACGTTCAAGTCACATGACAGCAGAACCATAATTTATAATATTCTTGCAAATAATTATTTATCGATCACTCAAAAATATCTCGCTACATTGAACAAATTCCACAACCTGTGGTATCTTCAAGAAATTGTTGAGTTAGGAAAATTAATGCACTTGGATATATTACACTATAATATATTTGTGAGTATGAAAGTCCAGAAGCTTACTACCAAGCTATTCTCTTGATGGAGGTTGGTAAGTTACAAAACAAATCATTGCATATCCATATTATATACTTATCGCATTATTTTCAGGTGTGATTCATTATCACAGTCTTTATGAGAAGTTGGATCTTTCTAAGAAGGAATTTATGCATCCAGGCATAATTGAAGGAATCTTACAGAAACAAAACGTGAATTTGATTTATGTGACCGATATGTGCTACACTGCAATTTGTTAATTAAAGCCTGGCATAAACCTATATGATCATAGTCATAATGATAAGAATTAACACTCGCGAACTTGAAGACAAGCTGTGCTAAGTAAGGATGTATAATGTGTAAAGGTTCTGAAATTGAGCTCATGGTAAATTGACAATCATGATTTCAGGATATTAAAAAGAGCATGGGCATGTAGGAGCACCAATTATGAGACATTACAAGGTGTAAATGGGAAAATGGAGTTGCAGCATGAAGTTAAATTCTTCATTACTTTGTACCATCATGGCAGAAAATGCCACAACTAATTACAAGAAAACTGTGGGAATCAATTCCCTGTATAAAAGTCCAGAAGCTTACAACTAAGCTGTTCTCTTGATGAAGGTTGGTAAGTTACAAAACAAATCATTGGATATTCATATTATATTCTTATTGCAGTATTTTCAGGTGCAATTCATTCAAACAGACTTTACGAGAAGTTGGTTCCTCCATGGATAACAAACATATCCCGAATGCAATTGCATTGTTGATGTCAAGATGCCTGTTCACAAATCATTACCGGACTCTATGTGAAGTGTCAAGCTACAAATATGTACAATGTGTGTATGTGAAAATTGTAATTACCATTTATCATTGTTATTTCAGGATGCTTGAAATACCATATCCATGTAGGATTACCAAATATGAAGTATTAAGTACAAGGAGTAAACACAGTTGTAGCATGAATTTAATTCAGAAAAACTTCATGACATAAAATTCCACAAATGGAAAAGTACAAGAAAATTCTGACTCATCCAGGGAAACACTTTCCTGTTAAACAAATTTCAAACACTTCAAAGGTCTAGAAGCAGAAAAGACCCATTATTTTGAAAAGTGTACGTCAAAGTCAGGCTAGGTTAAGCCCCAATAAGTGAGATAATAACGTAATTGTGTTTCAGATAATTTGTCTTGTATTGTACCATATACGACTTAACATAACTTATAAAGTTAAGTAAATTTGCTGATCATTACAGGTAGGTCTTACCTGGCTCTGAGATACAAAATTTCATTTGAATTTAAACTTCTAGGTATAAATTGTGGTTTTAAATTATTTATTATTTATAATTGAAACTCCAGCTACTGAGGATACCAAAAAAATACATCAGTGGCAATAATAAGATCGATGTACTGAGCCTCAAAGAACAGTATGTTGTACTTTCTAAATGTTTTGCGCCATATATTAGTATTGTAGCATATTGTATAAGGAAAAAAAGTAAGGAAACTTAAATTTTTCAATCATTTTATTAAGAAATTCAAATCTCAATACAGAAAGTTTTTAATTGATTTGGAACCCCAACTTAAAAGGGAAAATCTATCAAAAGTATAGCATGTGAAAGGAAAGCATTTCTGGGTTGAAAAATAAATATCAAGAATTAAACTGGTTTATATTTGAAACACTCATGTGAAAAGCAGACTTTGTTAGTTATGATAGAAACAGTAAAAAAAATCTTTGGCTCAAAAGTGTGCATTTACCTCTTGTAATACTAGGAGCTGCAATTCAGTGAGGCTATTAAGGAACTTCACCTGCTAATTTTGACAGGCAGTAATGGTATGCCATTGATGTCTCTTTTATTAAAATTTTTAATCACATCGAAGCAAATTTAATCACTTGAATATTTTTCAATCTGATGTACGGTTTTCATAAAAATAAAAACTGTCTCTGAATATTGTTAATATGACAATATCACCATGCAGCGAAATAGTTTCGATTTTTTGGGTGGAAATCATAGGTCTGACAAAAAAAATGCTTTTCAAAAATACTGTTTATACATAGTGACATTGTGATACTAGCGATATTAGGATCATGCAAAGGAACAGTATTTTAATTTCATGAAAGTTGCTCAGAAGTCACTGATGATTTTAAGAGCAATTTTTATTTTAAGAGAAATCAGTTGCCTACTATCATTGTCTGCCAAAATAGGCAAGTGAAATTCGTACGAACGCCACTGGTGGGAATTGAAAGAATGTTACATTACAAATACCTCTTGATGTCCATGTATGCCAAACTTTGATAAAGTATTTAAAGTGGTATTCCACATCTTTACAAAAAATTTATTAATTTTTGAAATGTTTACCACTCTGTTTCTCAAAGGTCAAGAGATTTATTATATACGTCATATGAAATATTCGTCTTAAAATGGACTCAAAGTTACCCCCTTAAATATAGACATTCAATTGGAAAACACCCTGTATATTTTATGTAAGTAAATTAAAAATGAATAAAGGTTATTGTGATACACTGTACCTTTTGGATATAAAGTCATCATTGTATTGGTGATACTTACGTTTTGACATACTACGTATGAGTTCATTAGCAATGTCATGTATTATACTTTTCAGATGACAAGTATTTGTGGAATGTAAATAAAAGCATCATTGGTAAAATCAATATTTATTTAGAAATATAATAGGCTCTTTCAGAAATATATGGAAATACAGGTTTCATCAATTTGTCATTCTTCTTTCCTCTTAAAACAAATGTTTCATCATGATGTTAACAATATTGTATGCTACTTTCAAAATTAGAAGCTCTAGAAACAAAACGCTGTGTGGACAAACAATTTAAATATATATCGACTCTTCTTTTTCCTCTAATAACGTGCCTTACACTAGAATTATTCCGTCCTGCAACAGTATCTTGTAATCTCGGCTTCTCAGGATGGAATGTATCTTTGAGCAATGCAAGTAGATCTGAAAAAATACCATTAAAAGGGTGATTTCTTACATTTTACTCCTTAGAACCGATACAACCATAAGTGTTGAAATATGTATTTCATATAGTCTTTAGTTACACCACTGGAATTTTATTTTTGTCATTGTCATCATTTGCTACTGTGCTTCCATTGTGTGAAGTATTTAACTACTCAGGACAATTGTTGGCCAAAGGGTGGTCAATAACGAAGAAAAAGGTAATGATTTTCTACATAGCCTTAGCTTTGTGAAAATCGTCGAATAAAAATGTCGATTACAATATTCAAGAATGCACTTTATCGAGTTCTGTAAGACATTTCAGCTATCCAACATGCAACATTAACCATTCGAGAACCAATTGCCTAAGCATAACAAAGTTCATCTTGAGCTCCATAACTTTAAAACTCTTATGATTATACATACAGGCTTATGCATTCCTTAAACTAACAAATTCTACTGTAACAATATCGAACACAAAAGGCAAACTCATTTGTTTCAAAATGGTGTGGTTACTACAGGACTGGCTTTTTCAGTGGTGCGAGGATGCTTCCATGTGCCTGAATGTGTAAATTCCTTCTTATGAAGATCATTCAGCTCTCTATCGTTCTTAGTTTACTTCTGTTGGCAATTTCAGGATTAACTTTTTTGCAATATATCAATCCCTCACATTATTTTTACCAATGTTTACACCTTGATCACCATATAGGTTGGCCTTGGTTAAGCTGTCAATTCTAAATATTCAACTGTGCTGTGTTTGAACCGATTCTACGCTTTGTTTTTGCCCTGAGGCTCACTGCATCATTTTTCTTATTTCCAATCACATTGTTGTATTGTTTACCATGGTCAGCAGCTGAAGCTTTTATTTTTGATGAATATTTTTCTTTTGTAGTCTACATTATCAACAGGAACTAAAAACCACAATTTATACACATAATATATACACAGAACATTCAAATGTTTGAAATTGACAGTTTGAAGTTTTGATATAATACATTTTCATGATAGCTTCCCATTTAAAACAAAACTTTTTCTGCTTATATCAATATATATATATATATATATATATATATAGGTGAAAAATTAAAGCTTCCGCCTTTTGTTGGGTACTTCGACAAAATTTAAGCAAAGAGGACTCTTTATACTTTTTTAATTCTCTCTAGCTTTCAATGGACTTTGCCATCATCATCAGGAGCTGCAATTACAATGATAACAGTAGCAACAAAAGTGTAAATGAATTTAAATTGACTTAACTTACAGTAGTATGTGAGGATGTTGCTAATTGTTGTTTACGTATAGGATGAGGGAAACGTCCAGTAACATGGTGAGAGCTGGATAGATGGTACAATGGTCAAAATTATATAAAATATGACAAGAACAAGTTAAAAACAGATTAAAAATTATTTAAAAACATTAGAGCACTACATCGTGAAGCCACTTGATGATTGCACAAAATGGTGGTCATGGAATAATGAATGAGATGAACCCTTTGACAGAAGGCCGAAGGTTGTCAATGTCTGTGTTGAAAGATGGAACGAATTGTGGGCGTGTGCCAAACGTTGCCAAATCACTTCAGATGATGTGATTTTCAGAATGTTATGTAAGAAATTGTTAACCGACCAGAGGCAGTTGAATAAACTATATTTTAATTAATGGGAATTTAAATTAACAATTATTAATGAATCGTGACAAGAGAATTATTAAATTTTGAGTGGAATGAAATTTACTGGCGGAATCGGCCAAAACACAGATTCTATTTATGGTTGTGAAGAGTCGAAATTTGGGGAGATATGTAAGTTCTCCAATTTTTCGCAGTTTAGCAAATATGAGTAAATGACACTCAGTTGTTTAACATCTGTCTTTTTGTCGATACAGTTGTTATTCATGAAAATGTGGGACATTTCCAGGAATAAACGTTTGTAAAGGTGTTTTTCTTTATCAAGAACTTTGATACTTGTGTAATTCATAGAATGTCCTGTTGTGTTAACATGAGATGCTAGAGCGCATCTTTCAGGATGAAGCCTAGCATCACTTTTGTGTGATGTAATCCTTCCTTTAAGAGATCTGGAGGTCTGACCTATGTATATTTGGTTGCAGTTGTTGCAATTGATGGAGTAGACTGTGTTGGTTAAGCCAAGCAGCGGGACTTTGTCTTTCATTTTTGAAAAAATGCAGTTTATAGTGAGGACGGATTTGCAAGCAATTCGAGAGAATTCGGAGAGAATTAAAAAAGTATAAAGAGTCCTCTTTGCTTAAATTTTGTCGAAGTACCCAACAAAAGGCGGAAGCTTTAATTTTTCACCTAACTGGTCTAGACGACAATTTTTTTTTTTTTTTTTTTAACGAGGGGGGAATGCATTTACGCACCATACCATAACACGAGCTACGGCGTGTGTGGGGCTCCAGGGTCTTGAGGAGATCACCTAATACCCACTAAACCCTAAACCTCCGCGTGGCCCGACTCATCAGCGTCTCGGTAGGCCATGTGTTGTGCGTGACCTGCGGTCTGCTACAACGTCTCCTCATGTGTTTCAGTCTCTGGGAACGCCGGGTTGGTTCCCTTTACCTCGCACATTCTATCGATGTCGTTAAGCGATCATCGATAGAGGGTCTGCTGGTTCTCTTGAAACTCTTGTTTTCGAAAAATCAAGAGTTTCAAGTCCTCTTACCAATATGTTGTTCCTGGTCCTGGTCCTGAAGGGTCCTGGTCCTGGTGGGTCTTGGTCGTGGCGGGTCCTGGTCCTGGTTGGTCCTGGTCCCGGTGGGTCCTGGTCCCGGTGGTTCCTGGTCCTCTGCATCCACGCAGTGGGGGGGGGAGCAGCCGCAAGTTCTCCTAGTCTCCTAGTCAAGGTTCCAGTTAGCGGGTGCCAACTGGGACCTTGGTCTGGGGTACCTGGTTCTGCGGTTGCGAGGCCTCTCGTCCGGATCGTAGTCCATGAGGAATCGTAGCTGCTCGTTCGGGTGGTCCTGAGCTTTCTCGAAGGTCTTCTCCGCTTTTTTCCTCATGTACTCGTGGATGGTATCCCAATGCAGGTCTCTACGCAAGGTTGAGTTCCTTACGTAGGAAGGTGCATTGGTGGCGATCCGGAGTAGCTTCATCTGGCTGTGTCTACACAGTAATGGATAGAGTTGAGCCATGGCTGCTCTGGTTTTTGCGATGACAGCTTCTATGTGCGCTTTCCAGGTGAGGGACTTGTCAAAAACGATCCCCAGATATTTGACATTGTCGCTCCACTGGATATCTTCATCGAAGATGGATGCTTCGAGAGGTCTTGCAATCCTTCTTCGTTGAATGAAGATTGCCTGCGTCTTCTGGACGTTGATGCGGATTTTCCATTTCACGCACCAGTCCTGAATTTGGTCCAGTTCATCCTGTAGTCTCCTACGGATGATCTCGGGTCGTCTATGCTTGGCGGCTATAGCAGTGTCGTCTGCATATAGGGCCAGCATTGTGTCAGCTGTCTTCGGCACATCGTAAGTATAGATGTTGTAGAGCAGGGGGCTAAGGCTGACCCCTGGGGCACGCCTGCTTCCAGCTGTCGTCTTGTTGAATGGCATGTACCAATCTTCACCGTGAACCCTCTTTGTGTTAGATAGCTCTGGATTAGTTGGCACATGTTCGCATCGATTCCGGCGGCTTCCATTTTGGCGATGAGTCCATCGTGCCAAACTCGGTCGAAGGCTCGTTCCACGTCCAGCAGGACGAGACCGGTTGCCTCCTGGAGATTGAAGCCGCTGGTGATGTTTTCTGTCAGTCGTAGCGCTTGGAGTTCCGTGTTGTGCGAGGATCTGAAGCCGAATTGCTCTGGGGGGAGAAGTTGCAGTTCTTCTGCCTGCTTCTCTAGTCGAACGGCGATAGCCTTTTCGACTACTTTGCCCATCGAGGAAACCAGGCTGATGGGCCGGTAGTTCTGGGGCAACTTCCGGTCCTTGCCTGGCTTGGTGAGCATTATAACCTGGGCTTCCCGCCACCGCCGCGGGAAGTGGTTAAGTCTCAGGATGGCATTGGCGATGTTGGTGAGCGCAGCAATGCCTTTGGTGGGAAGGTTCTTCAGCATCCTGTTGTTGATGCCGTCCCTTCCCGGCGCCTTTCTGACCTTCAACCTGCGGATGATCAGACGGATTTCCTCTGGACTGGAGGGGTGATCCGTCTCCTGGCCAGGTGGTCGACTCCTCATGTTTTCGGCTGCGACTTCCACGGCCTCCTCGTGGTTGTCGTCCTCGTCTTCATGGTAATTGAGTCTGCATTCGGATTCTAGCGAATCGGCGAATGCTTCGGCTTTTTCTTCACTGGAGTAGGCCAAGCCGCGTTGGCCGTGAAGAGTGGGGATCGTGGTGCGCTGACGACGAAATTTTCGCTGCATAGACCAGGCCGTACCATCCTGGGTCTCTAGTTCTGCACAGGCTGCATTCCATCTGCTGTTTTGGAGTTCCGCGAGTGCGTTCTTCAGAGCTAACGATGCTCTGTTTCGCGCAACTCTCGACTCCTCTGTCAACAGCTGGAGATGTTCTCGCTTGACTCTTCTGTTCTCCCTGATCAGGTGCCTAATATGGTGCGGTGCTGGACCATTTAGGTGTCTAGGAACTGCCGTAGTCTCGGAGCGGGTGCTGTCCTCGTGCGCTCGCAGGACAGCATTCTCCTAGCTCCTCTACTGCGTTGTCCAGTTCCTCCGCTGATCGGATGGTTGGAATTTGAGTGATGTTCCTTTGGACGTTGGATTTGTACAGGTTCCAGTTCGTCCGTTTGGTGCTCAAGCTATCTCGAGTTCTAGACCCTGTGCCAAGTGTTAGTAGAATCGGATTGTGGTCCGACGATCCTTCCACCAGGGTCTCTATCTCGAACTCCTCTCTGATGTTGCGGAGGATGGCTATGTCCAGTACCGCAGGTCGCCCAAGGCCGAATGGAATGTAGGTTGGTTGCTCCGGACCGACGATGACCCCCGCCAGGGCATCGACGTGTTCCTGGAGCTGCCTTGCATTCCTGTCTTCGACGTTGTTGTTCCATGCCGGAGACTTGCAGTTTAGATCTCCGATGACTATGCGTGCTCCTGGGCCTCTCAGGAGGTCAGCGATGTCATCTTCGTCTAGGGCCTCCCCTGGTGGCACATATAGGGAGGTGATTCTGTAGGGACGGTGGTTGTGATGGACCTGGACCGTGATTCCGTCCCCATTTATGTCTGCGGCATCGTCGAGGACATGACTCGTCAAGGTACGTTTGATGAGTAATGCGACTCCTCCACCTCTGCCCCTTCTGTCGTAGCGGTACGTCTCGTACCGCGGGAACGTCAGACTATGGGCAGCATCCAACTTCGTTTCTTGGATGGCCATCACCTCTGGTTGGTACTGGTCTAGTATCTCCTGGATTTCTGGTTTCCGTGCCCTGAATCCGTTGATGTTCCAGGAGATAATGCGTAGAGATTCTACGTTTTGCCCTGTAGACATTTCGGGTCTAGTGCTTGTCTTGCATCTTGGCCTCGAGTGCATCCAGGCGGGTTATGATGGCTTGCATCATTGCTAGCAGTCTGTCATCGCCGTGTTGCTTCTGCGCAGTAGTTCCAGTAGCAGTGGCGGCTGCTGGGGCAGAAGTGGACATAGGTTTCTTCACTTTTTGAGCGTAAGAAGTCCTATTTGTGGTGGGGACTGCTTTGGGGGCAGAAGCAGCTTTCTTCGGGGCCTTACTACATCCCTTGTAGTTGGCGGGGTGGCCTTCTCCACAGAGGCAACACTTGGCGTTTCGTTGCCCTGTTGGCGGCGCTGGCAGACTGCAGCTGGTGCTGTTGTGGTCCTCTCCACACTTAACGCACCGTTCAGCGAGACGGCAGTTCCGCTGTGTGTGCCCGTACCGCTGGCAGCGCTAACATTGGCTGGGCTCGGAAGACTTTTTCTTCCTCTCGAAGCTGACCGTGAGCATGGCCAGCCTCTGGATCTCTGCAAGCTTTTCCGGCATCTTCGTCTTGACGAGGAAGAGCGGAAGTGGCTTCTTGGTGGTGCTTGAGGTCATCTGCTGAACCTCGGCGTCTGCGATGCCTTGGCTCACTAGATCCTCTTTGATGTCATTGACTGACATCTCCCTGGGTAGCCCACGAATGACCCTCTGGTCCATCCTGTCCTCCTTCAGTTGATAGGTGAAGAAGGGCCGCTTGATGGATTCCAGCAGTGCGACTAGCTGACGGTAGTCAGCTGGTGTAATTGTGAATACCTTCACACTGGTACCCGCCGTCCTCGCCTTGGAGAATTGAATCCCCTTGCTGTTCATCATCCTGCTTAAGGATGACCAATCAGCGGTGCCCTCGATATTGATTGGCGGAACTCCTGTTCCTGCCATGGGGGGCACGATGGTCCTGGCTGCTCTAGGACTCTTCTTGGTGGCGGCAGCTGGCATCTTTGGCTGCCTTGGTGACTCATCTTCGGAGGAGGAAACTCGCACCCGCTTCCTCCGTCTGGTGGCGACACTGAAATCGGTGTCGTCCGTCCTCTTCTCGGCTTCTTCTACGTCGATATCTTGGGCATCCATGTCCAACTTCTCCGTAGGCTGCTGGTCCTCGTCTCCCTGGTCCTCTCCTTCTTCTTCTTCCTCCGTCTTCTTCGCTTTCCTCTTCGCTTTGAGGAGCTTCCTTTTCACCTCATCGATCTCATTCCTCGCCTGCTCGAATGCTTCTTGCAGATTTTTCATCTGCTCAGCAAGCATTGCGAAGTTCTTCTCTTTCTGCTTCAGCTGGCTCGCCAGCTTTTCTATTCTCGCCATCGTGGATGGCGATCGTACCGTGATGAAAATCACAGTAGGATCGCACTGTAAGTCCGGGTTGGTCGCAGTCGCACAAGTGTATACTCGCGACGGCTGCTAGCTCGGAACTGGGAGACGACAATGACCACGTCTCAAGTTATATATATATATATATATATATACCCACAAGGCTAATATTGTAAAACAATGCGAGCACCTGAAATATCAGTCCTATTCAGTGTTTGACATTCTTTAAGTAGGGAATTGATTCCCACAGTTTTCTTGTAATTAGTTGTGGAATTTTCTGCCATGATGGTACAAAGTAATGAAGAATTTTACTTCATGCTGCAACTCCATTCTCCCATTTACACCTTGTAGTGTCTCATAATTGGTGCTCCTACATGCCCATGCTCTTTTTAATATCCTGAAATCATGATTGTCAATTTACCATGGGCTCAATTTCAGAACCTTTACTCATTATACATACTTGCTTAGCACAGCTTGTCTTCAAGTTAGTAAGTGTTAATTCTTATCATCATGACTATGATCATACCGGTTTATGCCAGGCTTTATTAACAAATTGCAGTGTAACACATATCTGTCACATAATCAAATTCTCGTTTTGTTTCTGTAAGATTCCTTCAATTATGCCTGGATGCATAAATTCCTTCTTAGAACGAATCATTCACCTCCTTGCCTTTCAAAGTAAACATAGCATTTTACTGAGGAACCAACTTCTCGTAAAGTCTGTGATAATGAATCACACCTGAAAATAATGCGATAAGTATATAGATGGATATCTGAGGAGGACGTTGCAAATTGAGCAATCTCCTACCCATCATATCCCACACGTGCTCAATTGAGGATAAGTCGGGAGATCTTGGTGGCCATGGTAACAATGTGACATCATTATGTTGAAAGAAGTCTATTGTGACTCTTGCAACATGTGGTCGGGCATTATCTTGTTGGAAAGTTGGATCTGCCAGGGTGTCACGATAGGGTAAAAGATGGGGTTCTAGAACTTCGTGGACATAACGCTGCGCGTTCATGTTACCTCTGATGAAGATTAAGGGTGACCTGGAACCATAAGCTATAGCACCCCAAACCATAACTCCAACAGTGTGATGAACATGTCTTTCAACAAAAAACTGTGGATTCCTCCTTTCACCACGTCGCCTTCTAACCCTGGCACGACCATCGTGCATGCCTAAACAAAATCGTGACTCGTCGCTAAAGACAATACTGTTCCATTCCTGATCCCAGGGTGACCGTTGTCTGCACCACTCAAGGCGATTACGTCGGTGTTCTCGAGTTAAAGAAAGGACCCAGTGTGGCCGGTATGAAAACAAGCCAAAACTTCTCATTCGTCGGTAAACACTTCGCATGCCAATAGGTCTTCCGTGTTCTGCAAACCATTCATTTGCAATGGACATGGTAGTGGAGAAACGGTCCCTTAAGGCCAATAATCTTAGGCGGCGATCTTCACGGTCTGTTGTTCTACGGCGGCGTCCAGTGCCCCTTGCTCTTTGCGTACGGCCTTCTCGGATCCATGCCTGACAACACCTAACCACAGTATCTACACTTCTTTGCACTCTAACTGCAATTGCCCGAAAAGAAAGTCCAGCTTTCCGAAGTCCCACTATACGGCCCCTATCAAACTCACTAAGTTGACGAAATCGTCCGGGTCTCCGTACTCTAGGCATCGTAACCGATCGTAAAGGATGTCAAGAACCAAAATCCGCCAACGTTGATTTTTTACTGCGGCTGAAATATTCATTTTTAGAGCGTTAGTGAATTAAAAATATAATATGGATATGCAGTGATTGTTTTGTAACTTACCAACCTCCATCAAGAGAATAGCTTGGTAGTAAGCTTCTGGACTTTCATACTCACAAATATACAGGGTGGCGCAGAGGAAACGCACGATTTCACCTAAGCATAACATTTTTTATTTTCAAGATAACTTTGTTTCAGTTACAGCTAAATAAAGTAATGATAGTGCACTTTTAAACTAATGATGGTAAATAACGTCACTCAAGTGTCGCTCTGCTTCGCGCTCGCACATCTCCAACCGCTCTTGAAAGTTGTGCATTACACGTAAAATCATTTCTTGTGGTATTCTTGCAATTTCTTGACGAATAGCAATTTTCAGTTCCTGTAACGTACGAGGCTTGTGAGGGTACACTTTATCCTTAAGGTAACCCCACGAAAAGAAGTCGCATGCGGACAAATCTGGGGAGCGTGGGGGCCAAGGGACATCGCCGAGACGGGAAATCACATGTTCAGGAAACATCTGTCGAATCCATTCCATTGATGCTCTCGCTGTGTGAGCTGTGGCACCGTCTTGTTGGAACCACAGCTCTCCCATGTTTACTTGTTGCCGTTGAAGTTCGGGTAACAGAAAATTTTGTAACATGTGAACATAACGTGCTGAAGTAACTGTTACTGCTCTTTCTTCCTCTTCAACAAAGTAAGGACCAACGATACCTAATTTACTGATTCCGCACCACACAGTTAATTTTTGACTATGCAAGGGTCGTTGGTGTAGCTCTCGTGGATTTTCGGCCGCCCAATACCTACAGTTCTGCTTGTTTACATATCCTGTTAAATGGAAGTGTGCTTCGTCACTCATCATTATGACGACGTCAGGATCGTCAGCAAAAATGGCCCGCATTCTCGCACAAAATTCTCTACGCTGTGCAAAATCGCTTTCCGTTAGCTGTTGCACGATCATTATCTTGTACGGATGATATTGTAAATCGTCATGCAGAATGCGTTGTAACGACCGACGGGACATACGCAGAGTTTGAGCTTGGCGCCTAGTGGACCGTTGGGGACTATCAAGGACCGCTCTTCTCACTGTTTCGATATTGCCTGGAGTCCGCACGGTACGGGGAAGGCCAGGTAGCTTCCTCTTCATTACGGATCCAGTACTTCGAAATGCTTCAACCCATCGGAGTATTGTGTTTCGATCTGGAATTGGCCCGTGGCGTTCAACATTGAACTGTCGACGGAATAAACGTTGCACGATCACTACAGAATCATCGTTTCGAAAAAATTGCTCGACGGCAAACACACGATGCTCCGTCATCCACGGTGCCATGGCTGAAACTGCATCGCATGTGTTCTCTGCTGGCGGTGCGGCGAGGTCATATCCCTATTCTGTGCGAAATACCATTCGGTCAGAAAACATGTGTTTCCTCTGCGCCACCCTGTATTATAGTATAATATATCCATGTGCATTAATTTTCCTAACTCAACAATTTCTTGAAGATACCACAGGTTGTGGAATGTAGCGAGGTAGTTTTGAGTGATCGATAATTATTTACAAGAAAATTATAAATTATGGTTCTGCTGTCATGTGACTTGAACGTCAAAACAACCTCAAGCCAGAACTGTCAGATGTCGGAAATCAAAAGGAGGACATACATGTGCGTTAACGAAGAATATTATCGAAATCAAGACGGCCACAAACGAGCCCTACAATTGTAGGGACGACTGACGATACGGGCCTAAGTGATCTCTTGTCGAGGGATGGCCCTCCCCCTTCCCCTGAGAAAGATCCCTGCGGGCACATATGAGCGAAACTTCAGGCGTGAAGGTGATCGGTTCATAAGTTCACATCCAGTCGAGCAGCGGAGGCCGACTGCTACACACATGCATCGATAGGACCACGACGCATATGATCGACTCGCGAGGGTCGGAAATATTTCTCCACCATTCTGTTTTAACGATAAATGTACGGGGAAATCTATGAATCTATGTGTATATATGAAAAGGTGCGTAGAATGAGTACGGTTGGAGGCGCATAAGTATACCATTGTCAAGAAATTGAGATATATACCTTCCTCCACCCAGCAATTTGTCACCGATTATTTTTTTTTTCTCTGAAACGTCAAACGAGTTTGAGCGATTTTAATTTTTTTACTTCGTTATAGAGGGGCCAAGAATTAGCGGACGAAATGAGTGCCTTGATTTTTCGTGATGCACATGTCATATAACTAAAATACATCTCATTTTCGAAATTTTTCACGATAAAATACTTACACGTCGGTGGCGTAGGAAGCAAAAATCAGAATGTAATCATTGTGATTGTCACATTCGAAGGGTTGGCAACGTTGCACATTGTCTTCGAGCTTTGGCAGTGGAGTTTCATTTCAAAGTTTAAGCTGATAAAAATACATTTCAGAATGTATTTCTTGGTGAAATTACTGATTTTTTGGTTGAAGTGTAATTATGTACACGATTTTAAGGCTCAGGAACTACATAGTTTATTAGAAATTCCATAATTAACATAAAAATATATTAAAAAGCGCCCAAATTGTCATTATAAAGTTAAAAAGATAAAAATCCAATAATATAGTAAAATATTTAAATCATATTTGTGCCCTCTTTTTGTCCAATTTATTTCATCTAAACTGAAACATTGTATATAAAACGGTTGGTATAGACAAGCTAGAATTTTACCATAACCAGTTATTTAACATCTCTGCCAAATCGCGCGCTGCGATCGATATGACGGTCGCCACTACCCTCTTAGCATATAGCGAAAAACTACTCTTCATCTATACCTTGAACTTTCAGGTATGCTTATAAATTGTGACCTAGTGCAAGTAACACATTAAATTAATATTCTTTTGAAAAAAAACAGTTAAATACTTTTAATATCGTAAAAATGTTCAGTAGTTTCTCTAGAACACCAAATACAGATAAATGATAATAAAACCACATGTCCTCACTCAGTTTACCCCGATTCCTAAACTACACGTTTTTTACAATATCCGCTCATGACATTACAACATTTATCATGAGAGAAGAGAGATTGTAGTAGAGTTGAAGGGATTCTAGATCCCGAGAGACATCATTATCGTAACGAGGTGACTGGTGCGGTACACGTTAAAGGAAAACAGCAAATGTGGAGCACAACGAGCGGGAAAGTATATTAGGAACAGAGAGAAGGGTTTGATTAATGTCGCCTGGAGGTTTAATCAGAGACACAGGAAGGGTACGAAGCTGAACCCGCAACAGAAATTTATATTGTTTTATACGTATGGATGTGCGTTGTATCTGGGGAATAACAAGTTTTGTAGTCGTGGAGCTGATCATGTCTTTCGTCGGGATACGAAAACATAATTTAATCAATATTATTTTCCGATAGTAACACGCAAACGTCGCAACGAGTGCCCATTGATAAATCGGTTCTACCGTGTCACAACGTACTATCAAAGATGAAAGCCTGTTAAAAATCAGGTAATTGTGACACATTCGCAAAACAAATAATAATTTTGAATAGGTAAAGCAATAAAAAAAGTATCGTATCATTACCTTGGTTATGAATCTTGTTAAGAATACATGTAGTTAGGGATCATATTTTTTAACTGAGGTATATTTTTAATGTACTAGCTGACCCGACAGAGGTTCTCCTGTCTTAGCTATAGACTGGGATGGATAATTAATAAAAGGGAAA